CCCAGAATTCCCCAGCCAGCGAATGCTGGCTGGGGAATTCTGGGAGTTGAGGTCCAGACATCTTCAAGTTGCCAAGGTTGAGAAACACTGGTCTAGTTAAGTATGGTGTGGTGATGATGGGTAGCAATGCGACGTAACAGTTTGCAAGGCGCGCCTATTGCTGCTAGGTGACTGGATTTGACACCTTCCTCGTGGAGAGCCTTGACTGCCCCAACAAGAGCTCAGATGTTGCGCTGGAAGCAAGTACAGTGTCCCTTCACTGGGTTGCTTTGGGCCAGTCATGTTCTCTGAGTCCAACTATCCCACAGGGGTGTTTACGGAAAATAACTAGGAAGAGGGGACTGCAAGGAAACCCCTATACTAAAGGATGACAGCCTAAAAAGCAAAACCTCTGACTTGATTCACATCCAAGTATATTCAGTTGATAAATTAATTTCACCTTTTGCAATAATTTTATTGATTATATGAAATAGATAAAACAGATGTAAAAAAAAATTCCTAACAAAACAATACATTAAAAGGAAAAAAATAGAAAGTGTAGGGGGAACCCCCACCCCCCCAAAAGGGAAAACAAATTAAGAAAAAGAAACCTCCAGCTTCAACCTTAGCAATATTATTCAACATTAACAATTTAGCACTATCTCCTAAAGTACAATCCGCTACATCTTCATTCCATCTACCACTCCACTTTATATAAACTAGTCTCTAAATCCTCTGTCTTATTAATCAGGAAAAGTTCAGTGTGTTAACAAAAACACCTACTGGTAGCAACATAAATATATTTCCCTACTTCTGTTTAAAATCTAATGCCTCTAATTACTGCCTATAATAATACTAATCCAATCTCAGCAAATATTACAAAAAATATTAAGCATTATCGAAATCCACTTTTTATATCGAAACTACTAACAGATACTACAAACTAACCTATTATACCCAATTAAACATTTCCAAAGTGAAAACTATTCAAAGTAGCTATTAAACATCATCAAATATAGTGATGTGTTGTTATGATTTGTTGCAGTCAGCCAGATGTTCAGACTGGATGTGGCATTTTTATCCACCTATCAAGTCCTTCCCAATGACCTGGGATATAGGCAGATGTGGATGTTTGACGGTGTTGACGGTATCCTTGCAGGATGTAAGCTATTCCTAGTATAGCTGGTTTTTGCAATTGACCAATAATGATTTTGTCAATGACAATGATGTTTAAGTGATGCTCCAGTTCTTTTGGGATTGCACCCAAGGCACCTTTCACTGTTGGTACCATCTTTGTTTGTTTGTTTGTTTTTTTGCCACAGTCATTCCATTTCTATTTGCAGGTCTTTGTAGTTTATCTTTTCCAATTATTCTGTCTTCAGGTACTGCCCTGTCCACTATCCAAAGTTGTTTGTCTTTCTTATCCACAGTTAAGTCTATAGCAGCTACCTGTCTGTTTGAATTCTAAAGTCCCTGAGCAATTTAATTTCTTATTTTTTAAGGAAAAAAAATCAGATTCAGAAAAATTGTGAAAACAAAACACTCAGAAACAACAATAAAACAGTAGGGAAAAAGTCTTTTTTTTCTTTTTATGACCCTGTAATCTCTTGCTTTGGGGTCAGGGCAACTGAATGCAACTGAGCATTTACTGGCTAGATGCCCTTTCTGATCAAAGTTCACAGCAGATACCTTCTCTTTGCACCCTGAGATTTTGTTGCTGCCTAGGATTAAATTCTCCTCAACCTTCTTAGTGGGAGGCAAGCATCTTCACCTCTTCACCTACCATACCTTTCTGCTGAGATAGTAGAAAAAAACTCAGATAACAATTGGAAATATAGAGGAAACAGCTGATTTGAACTACACAAATTATAACAAGTCAAATAGACTGTTGAAGAAGAAAAGCATGCTTTGGCTGATTATGTAAAAGACAGCCAAGCATAAGTGTTGATGCAAGTTAAAAACTAAAACTTACTGAATGAACAGGGCACAAAACATGAATATCAAAATAAATAACATGAATAGAATGTTGGCAAAGAAAAACATTATATGGTTTTTCTACAAAAAAATAAGGAGAAGAAATAAAACCTGGCCATACCTTTCAACTGGAAAAATGAAGCCTGGACTAGGCCTGCTCAAGAGCAAACTATTCTAAATAAAGCAATCAAAACCAAAATTGAAAAATAATGATTCAAAGTGCAGATGGTATAAAGAAGCATGCAAAAAAGGCACAAACTGATTATAACAACAACATAACAGAGTCACCAAAAGAATTCACTTGAAAATCTGTAAAAAATATTTGCCTGTAATGAAAAACTGGTGGGAACATATGTTTAAAAAGTAATAAAAATGAGCATGTTAAAATATTGTGGGATTTCTGAATACAGACTGACAAAGTTTTGGCATATAACACACTGGGTTTAAGAAAAAAAAGTGCATAATTGATGTGATAATACTTGAGTTTAGTAGAATAGAAGACAAAGAATTGGAGAAGATAACAAAGTATCAAGATCTGAAAACTGAATTTGAAAGATTAACATAGACCACTCGTGGTTCCAGTGGTTATTGACACAATGGATGCCATCACAGAAAATCTTGGATGGCACTTGGAACATCTGTACATCGACCAATTTTCTCTCTTTCAATTATCAAAGGCTGCTTGGATCTGCACATATACTATGCTTATACATTACATCAGGGCTGTCAAACTCACATCGTCACATCCCTCCCTTCGCTAAACCAGGGTTAGGCGTGGCCAGCATATGACGCATCTGGCCAGTGGGCTGTGAGTTTAACACCCCTCCATTAT